GATGATTAGATGGTCTTCTTCCAAAGTATTTATCAAGCAGCAGGAGGCGTGGCAAGCCCCATAGAGTATACATCATCTTCATCCAAGTGTCTAACCACTTTAGCCCTGTCCGTTTCTTTGCCTTTCCATATGTTTAAATGCTCATAACCTATAAAAATCAAATAGACTTAAATTGATTGATAACTAGTTTTCTTAAAAAAATCAGTTACAAATTTGTATCGCCAACTTCTTGAAAACTGAAACTCCAAATTTAGAATATATAAATCAATATAAATTTTATGATGATTTGTGAATGGGCTAAGGTATGAAAAAAATAGGAAATCAATGAATAAAAAATAAAAGTAGGGCTTCAAAAGTTTTGAGGAGTCTAATTAGGAAAAAAAATCTAATTAATCCATATAAAATTTATAAAATAAAAATAATTTTTTTTTTTTTAAGATTCCACGTATTAGATTTGCCAAATAGAGAATAGACTAGTAGAGAGTTAAACTAGTAGATTAGCTATAAATATGTAAATATGTAAATATATGGATTGATCTCGTTGGAGTTCAAACCATCCGGTTATTTATAGTTATAGTGTAAAGATTTGCTTATTGTTCTGTACAAGACAGAATGCAAATAAAATATATGTATATATAAAAAAAAAAAAAATATTTGGATTAATCTAATAATAATATAACAAATATGAATTATAATAATTCAATTATTTCTTTGGATGTATGGGAACGTGCGCAGCTCACAGTCGGATTGGGAGAACGTTTGGCATCGGGAGACGCATTCGCGTTGCCGGGACAAGCTGATCCGGCAGCTCTACTGGGCCTGCGAGAAGGACATCTACCGACTGACGCGGCGCAACCGGAAGAGGGGCGGCGACGAGGCGTGGCTGAAGAGCAGCTCCAATCGTAAGTGACATATCAGTGAGAGAGAGAGAGAGAGAGAGAGAGAGAGACAGACAGAGAAAGAGAGAGAGAGAGAGAGAGAGGGTGTGCTACTACATTGTGAAATTGTGTTGACTTTTGCAGCTGCTGTGGGCGGTGCCGCCTCTACCTGGCTGCACGTGAACTATGCGAACATGTTGCTGCGCAGCAGACGCTCCGATGCGCCCTCCATTACCAACGAGTGCTGCACCAAGACCGGCTGCACCTGGGAGGAGTACGCCGAGTACTGCCCCTCGAACAAGCGCCGCAATCACTACTGAGTGCGCCCGATTGCGCTCCCCAATATTATATACCCTATACATATAACATATATACATGCATATATACATATATATATACACACGATATAACTATAATGTTTTTTTTTTGTCTCTCTATTTTTTGTTGTTGTTGTTTGTTCGTTGTTCGATTGTCTGTCGCGTCGCGTTTGAAGCTAAATAATAAATAAAATAATATATAAAAATATGTGTTTTACCTGGAGGAGAAGAAGAAGAACTGATATGAAATCATCGATTGTTACAAGGGACTTCATATGGGCTGAATAGGACTAACCATACAAGTGCGAAAGGGGAAATGATTGATCCTAAAAAAGATTAATAATTTGATCTAAAATAATGAATGTTGCCTGAGAATGTCAAAGCCTTTTGCTCTCTACTCTTCTCTTAGAAAGAGGGAGGAAAATTTATCTGAATATATCTATATCTTCTACCCGAAGAGCCCGATTTGAATGAAATAAATGTTGTTATGCAAAAAAATCAATCAATTATGGCGAGGACAAAATTTTAGATCTGTAGACTTGCTATTAAATATTATTTTTATGAGTTTTCGAGAACACGTCGACTTAAAAAAAAAACAATTAAAAGAACCAAAACTCAAACAATATAGAATACTCTTCAGTAATACTTAGTATATGCTCGACTATACTATTTAATATCATGTGTCCGTCTTGGTAAGCAAAAGCTTAAGAGTGGCCTAATACAAAGATCATATACACGCCTCCTAGGCACTTAATGACTGGCAGGTAGTATAATTGAATGAATGAACTCTATGAATAGGCAGATGATCTATTACCCTACCCATCACCGATAGGAATACGTAAGAAACGAAACCTAAGCCATACAACCTCTGCAATTGACGAAAAATAGTCCATATCAATCAAAACTCAGCAATTGACTTAAGCTATGAATTTAGGCATGAGTCTGGGTATAAAAACTTAGGCTCAGAAGAATAATGCTGAATGCTGAACTTAATAAACATTCATCCACTACCGTTGCAAAGCTCCATCAACACCCAATACTGTAGTTGCATAATGCTTAAAGCTACACACCTACTTGATCTTTTCCTCTTTAAGAATTCTTTCGCTCTTAGCTACAGAGTGTTTTGGTATTTCTCTTTGTTATCAATAACTTATAGGAACTACATATATAAAAAATAGGTTGGATATACACGTATAACAGAGGTAAATAAAATATTCATACCTTTAGCGGTTTTACAGCTGAAACCAAATAATTTAGATAGTTGGGAGTGTCTGATTCACCTATTGAGAGGTGAGTAATCCGAGACTCCAGGGGTTTGATGAATCAGTACAACTTATTTTTATACAGACCGATTGCAACGTAGTACGAAATATGTGCCTCAACAATATAATATATATAGTATACACCATATATATATGATACTATATTCTCTTTATAATGTTCAGTATATAGTATGTATGTATATCATATAAGATACATATATTCAACATACAAGATATTATATGATATACATGATATTCGACATACATACATATATAACGTTTAATATGTATATAATACGCGATATATGTACATATATGCATTTTATAAAGCTTGATACATAAATATGTATACAGAATACCATATATCACAATTTTAATAAATATAAAATACCCTATATTTAATGTTAAATATTAATATATGATAAGTACATACGATATACGGCATATTATATACACGATATAAACAACATACATATATATCAAAA